AAGGGAGGGCAAGGGAAGGGAAAAAAATAAGAACCAAGATACTCATGTAATGGTACAAGATCCCAAAGATGAATGTAACTGTATTTTATACCTAAAATGTACCAATAAAGTTAATGGGGGGGGGGGTAAGCCCTTGACTAAGAGCAGAAACCCTACAGCCACAGGAGGGCACAGAATGATGTATTTCAAGACCCAAAAGAAAATAACTGCCAACCAAGATTACTATAGTCAGCAAGTAGCAATCTTGAGAAATAAAGACCTCCCAATATAAGCAAAAACTAAGGAAATTCACTACCCTGAGACCAGGATTACCAAAGATACACAAGGGAGTTCTACATCCAGACGTGGAAGAAAGATAACTACTATCATGATAGCATGTAGAAATAAAATCCCACTAGAAGAGTAGATACACAAATGGGAAAGAGAAGAATCAAACATTATCAATACACTAGGTCATCAAACCACAAAGGTGATAAAAGTGGAAGAATCAAAGAATATTCAAAATAGCCAGAAAAAAATCAACAAAAAGCAGGAAAAGTCTGTACCTTTCATAAATAACTCTGAAGACAAATAGTGTTAATTCTATAGTTAAAAGATTCTGGCGGAGTGAATTTAAAAACAAAACCCAACAATGTGCTGCCTCCAAAGATTCAAATCACCAGTAAGGACACAGAGGCTAAAAGTGAAAGGATAGAAAATGGTGTTTCAAGCACATGGAATTCTAAAACAAGTAGGAATAGCTATGCTTACATCTAACAAAACAGACTGTTTTATTTACTTGGGCCAAAACACCCAACATCCAAAGTTAAACAAGGAAGATTTATTGTAGCTTTCAGTTTGTAGAGGTTTCAGTTCATAGCCGACTTGCTCCAAGGCAGGGTAGCATGGCAGAGGAGAAACAGTCCATGGCATGGCAGGCAGAAAGCAGGTGGCAGCAAGACTCCCTTTTCTTTATATTCCATCTAGGCTACAAGCCCATTGGTTGGTGCCACCCACACCCAGAGTGAGTCATCTCTCTTCAATAAATCCATTTAGCCACACCTAGAACTATGATAACCCAATCAGTGGGCTGATCCAGTTATCACACCCATGATCCAGCCACTTCCCAAAAGCCCCATCTATAAACACATGAGGCTTTGAGGGGTATCTAGATAAAATCCATGCAACAGACTTTAAGACAAAAAAAGAAGAAGAAACAGAAAAGATCACTATACATTGATAGAGGGATCAAATCAATTCATGATTATAAATTTATATGCAGTTTACAGTTAGTAATGGAACACCCATTTTAGAAAACAGTGTTAGATTAAAGGAAGAGAGAGCCTCCAATATAATAACAGTTGCAGAGTTTGGTACTCCACTCTCAACAAATGGGTAGGTGAACCAGATAAAATATCAAATAAACATTAGAATTAAACTACACTGTAGGCCAAATGGTCTTAACATCTTACTGAAGATGTCATCTAACAGCTGAAGAATGCACAATCTTTTTATCAGTGCATGGAACTTTCTCTAACATAGACCATATATGAGGCTGATACAGGAAATAACACTGGAGAGGAAATATAAAATATTATATCTCCCAACCTGTTAGATGTCTGATATGCCAAGCTCTTGTTCTCTAAAAATCAAAGAATGAATTCTAGGAACAATGGAACTTAAAAATAGGAAGGTATTTGATAGGATATCTCCTGAGAGGCAGGAGAGGTCCTGAATGGGTAGCTCAGGGACCCCACTTTACAGAGGAGCTTTATAGAGTGAAACCCACATAGGTACAATTTGGGCTACAACCATTATCAACTAATAAGGTCACAAGTATAGTCACTTCGGTAATCGTGGTCCAACTGGGAAACAAGTCACATAACAAGTGTGGATGGAAAGAACAGAGATTCTCCTAGGAAGTGGTGGGTCCAGAGGTCTCTGGTCACCACCAGGGTGGCTGACGTCTGTCTAGACTTCATTAGGCCCAGTGTTTGTCCTTTGAGGAAGTATACAGGTCTGGTCATCTCATCTTTATCTTGAGGCCTGACCTTCAACAGATGTGTCTCCAGCCACAGTTGTGATGTGACTCACCTTTGTCCTGACTCTCTCTAGCCCTATCTGACTGCCTATAATATTTCTACCTACCTCAGCTATCTATAATAATGTCACAAAAGAAGTCTTAACTAATTCAGAAAAATTGAAGTCATATCATTTATCTTTTCTGACCACAAGGGGAAGAAACTAGAAATTAGGTAATCCATTTAAAAATGGGCAAATGGGCCAGGGATTTAGCTCAGTAGTTCCACCACCTGCCTCGCAAGCAGAAGGACCCGAGTTCGATCCCCAGTACAAAAAAATAAAATTAAAAAAAAATAAAAATGGGCAAATGATCTGAAGACACTTCTCAGAAGGAGAAATCCTAATGGCCAATAAACATATAAAACGTTTAATATCCTTACCTATAAGGGAAATGCAAATCACAACCACAATGAGATACATCTAACCTAGTTAGAATGGGTGTTATGTAAACAACAAATGCTGGTAAGGATTGGAGGAAAAGGAATCCTTATACACTGGTGGTGGAAGTATCAGTATAATCACTATGGAAAACAATATATAATTTCCTAAAAACTACAAATATAAGTATTTATGATCCAGCTATCCCATTCCTGGGTGATAAAGTTAGTGTACTGAAAAGATATTTGTATATTTCTGTGTAATGCAGCACTGATCACAAGAGCTAAGACATAGAATCAGCCTAGATGGCTGCCAATTGATAAATGGATTAATAAAATGTGGAATAGATACACCATGGAGGATTATTTACCATAAAGAATGAAATCCTATCATATGCACCAAAAATGGTTTTAACTGTAGGATATTATGTTAAGCCAAATAAGCCAGACACAGAAAGACAAGTATTGCATGTTTTCACTATGGAAACTTAATAAATAAAAGACAAATCAGAATGGGAGTAAATCCTGATGATATTGGCAGTTTTAGCCCCAAATCTGCTATCAGCAGCCTCTTCTGTTCAATATTTAAGTGGGGCAGGGAAGGTAGCTCAGTGGTAGAGCACTGGCCTACCTACCATCTGTAAGGTCCTGAGTTCAAGTTCCAGCACCAGGCAAACAAAATACTCAGTTTCCTATTGGTGCTGTAACAAACTACCACATAATCTGTGGTTTAACACAACACAGATGTATTATTTCACCATCTGAAAGGCAGCAGTTCAAAATGTGTTTCACTGGCTGGAATCTGGGTAGGCAGAGTTGCTGTTCCTTCTTTTCCCATCTTCTGCCATGAGCCTCCTGATTTCATGGCTCATGACCTCTTCCTTTCATCTCCAAGGTGAACTTCATCTTTCCTGAGTTCATCCAGTGGTACAAATCATCGCCTCTTATAAAGGCAGCCTTCCATTGTCTAGTATTCCTTACAAGCCTGGGTGGGGCCGTGATGACTAAGATCCTAGCACTGGCTCACCAACCCTCACGTTCCATTATAGGACCTGCCTGGAAGTCTGCTGGGTTGTCATACCATTGGTGTAGTTAGATAATAAAGAGCCAACTAGGAACTGGCCCCTCATGGTTGTCCTTCTGTGGCAGAATTACCATCTCCATTTCTCTCAACTCTCTGCATCTGCTCACAGGCTCTTCGCCTTTCTCTCCCAAGTTCTCACTTTTCTTCCACTGAAGAGTTGATCCCATTTTTTGTTATTTTGCTATTCAATTCCATTATTCCATTTCACATCTCAAGTTTTTAAATGGCAGGGATAATTATATTAAATTGACATGAATAATTATTAATGGATTATGTTTAACATGCAAAATGGCGGGTTTGACATGCTCAATCTAATACTCTGAAGGCTTAGATGAATTATTTCACTTAATCTTCATAAACTCTAGAAGGTCACTCACTGCTGTTATTCTCATGTTTATGGAAGGAATTGAGGCTAAGGGAGATTAGGGACTTACCCAGGAACACACAGCTTGGAAGTAATCTTCATGTGAGGTAGAAATCATAAAAACACCTGGCTACAGAGCTTCCCTGTGTAATTATGGTACCATAATGCCACCTTTGCTCGGTTTTTACAGTAGTAGTAATGGGCAGTGTGCAAAGGGATTCAAGGAAGAGTTCTGAAGGTCTCAATACATGACAAATTAGTCTGTTCATTATAAAGTAATATCAACATTACTGATCCTACTCCGTAAAACAAAACACAGTATAAGTAGGAAGAAATGGAGCACAACGGCTTGCATTTGGCTCTTCTTATTCTGTGAATTCAATCTTTTTAATTATACATCTATTTATCTAATCTCCCCACTTCATAGATGAGAAAAATGATGCTTACTTATCATGTACAATTTGGCTTAGTTCATGCCTGCATGTGACGTAATCCTTTCAATAAGTAAATTTTAGGAAAAAGCTGTGTCTCAAACTACACCTTAGCATTGGACCCAGGGAACCAAGTCTTTGGTAAGTGTGTACTGAGTACTTTCTATAGTAAATTGATAGTTGTCAATTGAGAACCAAGATTGTAACCAACAGGACCTGGCTTGTTTTTCAGTATGTGGACGAAGAGGACCTGATGAATGTGATCAAGGGTTTCAGCTCAGTGAGCAAGGAACACACCACGTTCACTGACACCCACCTGTAATGGACGGGAAGTGTGTGCTGTAAGCTCAGGACGCAGCTCTGCACTCCGTGAGCCCTGGGTGACCACCCACGGACGCATCATTAATGCTGAACACCACTGTTAATCCCTCACATTTCAGACGTGAGAACTGTTTTTAAAATCGTTCCTCTTTAGAGACCTAGAAGTGTTATTTTTCCAGTTGTCTGAAAGGAGAGATCACATCCATATGGAAACACTCACTTTGCTGTTTATTTTGTGGAAGATGAAGCATGTCATTTTCACCTGGCTCACACAGCGAGGCATTGGTTAAATGAAAAATCAGTGGCAAGTTCACAATGGCCCACAGTTGTTACAAAGGGAAGTTACCACCTTCAAAACTACGTGACTCTCCTGAGATATTGCTGCTGCCCCTTTCCAACTGCTATTTCTGACAGGGTTGACATAATCCTATAAGAAACAGTGACTGCAATGATCACAGCTGTGAAATGAAATCCCAGCTTCAGGCCAGGCTGAAGCAGAGAAAAACAAACACTGCACTGTGGCTATGCACGGGGCTAAAAGTTCTGTTTTAATTACATTTTTAGTGGTAGCCTTCTGACAGAGCACCACATAACTTCACCAGAAATATTTCAGTTCCTGCAATTATGGGTTGTTCAGAAATCTCATGAGTAAACCACTAATTTATACATTTTATAGAGAAAAACTTGAACCAATGTTTTTCATACATTTTAGAAGTTTTGAAACTTCAATCAGCATTTTCATTAAATTCTGTCATTTCACCAAATATCAGAAAATATGACATCTTCAACTTAGCACATTTGAAACAGAAATTACTGTACTACTTGCTATATTTAATTAGCCTTCATGGAATTCAAAAAGAAAAATTATGCTTCTTCCAGTTTTGAAACTGTTAACACATCTACATGTAAGGTGAAAACTATCAATATATACATATCTGCCTATCATATGTATATACACACACCTGCTATTTGGAATTCTATCTCATTTCAGAGAAATCATTTTAGTCCTAGAATTAGTAGGAATGGATGATATGCCACCAATTTCTGTGGTTTAGAAATTTCTGCTAGCTGCTCTATTTGGATTATAGTCATTGGTGAAAGTCCCACAGCAGGGGGAAAAATGCTGTCATCAACATAAAATGAAATATATTTATTCTTCCTGGAAAACTATGTAAGAAAACCTCTTTTTGCTCATTCTTAAAGGTTTTAACGACTGCTGGATATTCTTTTGAATACTTGTGTCTCACACACTACTGTCTGAGGAGACTGTCAATCTATGTCCAGAAGCAGGAGGATTTTTGCAAAGCTGAGGTGGAAAATGCTTATAAAATAAGGGCTAACCACACTATTCATCCTGCCTAAAAACCCATGAATTATCCCCATGGTCTGAGTCAAAGCTTTCGGACTCTGGGGTGATGAGATGTCATCCAACTCTGTGGGAGAGCAGCTCCTCCCTCTGGCCACTTCCAAAGCCTGCCAACCCCAAGTGTGAAAAGCAGACCAGCATCTAACAGTCCTGCCCCCTTGCTAAAACTGCTATAAACAAAGAGATTGGAAATAATCGTTATGTTTGGCAGTAGCTCTACAAGTTAGATTGTTTTCTGGCCAAAAGTTTTATACTTTCTGAAATGGAAACACAGGATCGGCTGGTCTATTGGTTTTTATTCCCTTCTGCCAACTGGTCAATTGGCTGTATAAATGAGCCCTAACCAAGGCTGAGTGGCAGCCCCACGTGCACTGTCCAGGGTACCTAACAGGAAGTGGCCTTTTCCAGCAACCCTGAGTCCTCCCCAGGGTCTAAACTTCCGCCAGTATGACTTGCTAGTCATAGATGGATTCAGGAGATAAGAGCTCAACGTCATTCCTGAAAAATCAGTTTATCATGGTGTATTTTTAAAAGCATAGTTATAAAACTTTATTACAAAGATTAGAGAACTGCAGGGGATTTTACCTTAAATCATTCTCCACTGCATGACCTAACTAGACACTGTTAGGAATTTAGTTGCCTGAATCACATTTTGACCCCACAGCTCAGGGCAACCTGCATGGCTTCTGCCCAGAACACTGCCCTCTGCAACACAGCTAGCTAATCTTACTCGAAATTCATTCTGAGGAACCCTAGGAATTTGTCCTACTACTCTAATTGGTACTGTGTACAGAGCCTGTTACACAAAATATGTAGACCCATCCCCGAGATTCTGATCCAGTTGGTCTGGGGTCGGGCAAGGCCTCTGCACACTCTGGAACTTCCCGGCATTCCTAGTGTCCTCCAAAAGTTTGTGCCCAGGGGCAACATGCTGGGCACAGGCACTGTGTCCTGGCCTCCATCTGTCCCTTACAGAGCAAATGATAAGCAGTTCTCAAGGAACTCTTAAATCCGTCCTAAATCTCCTGACTCCTCATATCATCTGTATAGGCCACATTCTCTGCTTAATCTAAAAACCACCATGTGTTGTTAACTGTCTGCCAATAGAGTACACAGTCATGTTTTTATAAGGTCTCCTAAGAACTGCACCTTTGTAGATGTACTGTAATTTCCACTAAACAGAGAACCTCACATGAATGTTAAACTCATGTTAGCGTCCACATAAAAATAATTCAACAACCTGTAAAGGCCATATGAAATAATTCAGTAGTAAAGAGCTTGTGTCATGGATAGCAGTTGATTTCCAATCCGTGAATACCATGCACATCAACCTAAAGATGGTTTGCTTAACGTTTAAATGTGAACCAAGTGTAATATATTTATGAAAAAACACTGATAATCCCGAGTTACTCATAAATGATAAAGGAAATAGGATGTTCTGGATATCTTCTAATCAATGTATGTTAAAATCAACTGTGGTACTTCTTTCAAAATCTGAATCCCAACCACGAGATGCAAATTCAGCAAGACTGGAGTGGGCTTGGGCAACTCCATCTGACCTTGGTAAGGGCCATTCATGAGCCTGGATGAAAACATCAGGAACAAAACCACAGGGTTTTCACATGGGAAGGTACGGCTTCGAAATGCTGGTTCAGGGGCTGACTAAATTGTTTATCCCATCTGGGTATCAGTGATCTCATCCGGGAACTGAGGACAAAAATATTTATCCAATTGCTATGCTATATGGTACTCTGAAATTTGTGTAAATTGAAAAACTTTTCGTCATGAGCACAACTGTTTTCATTTCTCATCAATCATACAAAGTATATAAATGCATTGTGACTTTTTTCTTCCAGTCACAAACCTAACAATGGAAGTATAAGGAAAAGCACTGGGCATGTGGGAATAATGCACACAAGGTTACATGTTCCAGAGTAGAATCAAATCTATGCGGTAACACCAAGCTTCAATCTCCCCTATGTGAGAGAAATAACCAAGATTCTACTTGTAGTATAATGCAACACAGTCACCGGTGCATGGAATTTTACTGTGTAACAGGTCTTGCCTTCTTTTGGTAGTCTTTTATGCTCAGTAAGTACAAGTTTCACACAATTATGATACAGAAAAACTATATTATTACAATCTTAGTGATTTTTGAGATTTTGGTTGCATAATATTTTCCTCATTGGTGATGTAACTTAGTCTTTCAATATATTAAAGTCTTCTCTTTTTAATTATAGGAAGCGAAAGTGTGAACACACACATGTAGGTCCATTTCAAATAGAGTAACTACTCATATGACCACACGCTCCATCTTAATCACTTTTAGTTGACTAAGCTGATAAATAAATACAAGAGAATTTTTTTGTGAAACCACTGGCAATATACTAAACTTTAAAGAATTTATTTCAACTTCACTCATTTATATTTCTTGGAATGAAAATATATACATTATTCAACAATAAATGCTTAATGGTTTAAATTTACACTTACTGTCTTTGCTGAAACCTGAAATTCACTCCAATTAAATGAAGAGAAAATGTACAAAAAAATTCTTTCTTTTGCTCTTACAATTCAAAATATATTCAAAAATAACATTTTTACATCAGCAAAAACCTTTAACCAAAAATTCACAACTACACTTCCCTACATGTAGTAAGACAGCCACATTTAATTATCTTGATTATTAACATTGAAAAAAACATGGTGACTCCTAAAGCAAAGCAAATTAGTAACTGGGAGAGTTTTCCTTCTGGGTGCTCAAAGCGCTGCCCTGATTGTTACTCTTTATGTCATCTTCAAGCAGACAATTGCTCCAATTTGAAATACAGTTCACATGGACTTCTGGCACTGAGTATTGGTGATGCATGCTGAGATTTAAGAACTGCCCACACTGAGAATCAGAAGATGACCCACAAACCAAAACGACCCTAAGTCTTGCTACACAGGGGAGGCTGGCATTTAACACCAGTAGTGTTTTTCTGAGTTACATGGTATTCTGTCACAAACATAGCACCTCATCGAATATCTGGTAAACACACTGCCATCACGAGGGCTGGGAGACCGAGGAGAATCATGTGATTCGCGGTGCTAACACTGGGACAAGACAAGCGTCTGGCGCGACCGAGACAGAGGGCAGGCTGTGGGTCCCCCGAAGGCCCGTGACGAGGCACCGCCCGAGACCCAGCCCGGAGCGCAGCCGACGACAGGAGCCAACGTGAGAATGAGCTCCGCTTTACAAGGCGACCTGTTAAACGCGCTTGTGAAGCTAAGACATTTCCGAAACGCCGAGAGACATACGATTACCGTAGCTCCTTTTACCAGGCAATTCTGTTAAAAAGGGATTAACTGAAGTCCGATTTGATCTCTCAGTCTTAGTGTAAAAACAAATATGCTGAAGTCCAGGAAAAGCTTATTTTCATCTAAATGTAATGAACTCCCACTCACGCTGGTGAGTTTTCACAAGCTGTGCTCCTGCCCCGAAGAATCGCTCTTTTTACGCCGAGGAGACGGAGACGGCGTGGCCTTCGTGGGGGACAGGGAGGCAGCCCCGGGGGGGTCGGCGCTGCAGTCAGAGGCGCTGGGCGCGGAGGCCAGAGGCGGGGCTTTCCTCCTGCCAAGGACGCCTCCCCCCTCAAGCCCGCCTTTCTTCTTCGAGTCTGCCTTACTTTCGTCTCCATCTTCTGAGGGCCGTTTCTTGGCTTCGGAAAACCCCTCGGCTGCTGGGTGCACTTCCAGACAGCCCGCCAGCTCTCCGGGGCCTTCGGTCTCCGCCCCAGGACACTTCCTCTCTGACGCGCCACATTCTCCCGCCGCTCCCTTCGCTTCCCCCTGAGTGGGGCCCGGGCTGCCATTCTCCGGGACGGCTCTTTCTATGCTTCTGCTGAAGTTCATAGTCTGAAAGTCCCTGTAACTGTGAAAGCTCTCAGTCCTCCGTGCCCTTGCTAACAAAGGACTCTCTCTGTAAGGCCGCATGGACCCGTAAGTTGCTGCTTCGTGGATGGTCTCGTGGTACTGAAGCTGAAGGCTGAAATAGTTTTTAAAAATCACAGTTCAGATTTTACCCTGTGGTTTCTCAGGAGTATATCTGATTAATTAAACTATCAATAAAAACACATTATATAAAGTATATTTATAGTTCCCTGTGCAAAAATGTACTTATCAAGTAGTCTATATTATGCATATACGTAGTTATCAATGCATATAGTACCATACACACATCCATATTCAATCTAAGTTTCAGAGTAGCTGAGAAAGATGCAAAAACACCCTTTCAACTCAGTAAGGAGCCAGTGTAATTCCGATTTGTTTCTTCATACTTTGAAATTTTCTGTCAGTATCGTAAAAAAGCACATTGTCTCAGTGTGCTGAAGTTCAGAACGCTCACCTGTATGAGACACAGCAACATGGTCACTCTGATTAAAACTGTCCCTGAGGCCACAGATTCCACGTGCACCGGCGTGGCATGACTGTCCTGATTTTCTCAGTGAATTCTGTCACATACTAGGTATTCAGATTAGCAGTAATTCACCAAGTAAGTTAAGGGCAGAGCTGGGGTTTGGGATGGAGCTCAGTGGCAGGGCACGCACTGCACACGTACATGTGAAGCCTTGGCTTCAATCCCGGCACCCTTGCGCCACGAGAAAAAGGCCAAAAATGCTTTCTGTGCAAAGAAACTGATATGCAGCGAGGAGAGAAACTGACGTATCTACATGAAGTGTGGATTACAAGCGCACTCGGGAAAACCTAACTTTCCGACAGCCGTGGCGATTCTCCCTGAGCCACCGGCAGCCTACCTGGAACTGGACGCCCGCAGGCGGCTGTGCTGAAGCACCGAGGTGGCGGGGCTGAGGTTCGGCGTGGCGCCGCGTGACGTGCTCAGGTCGCACTGATCCAGCAGCCTGAGCAGCTCCTCCTCGCTCGGTCCGCCCGCACCCCTGTCCTCGCTCTTGCTGACCATGTCCATGGCCGTGGTCAGGTCCCACATCTGGATGCTGCCGTTGGTGTGGCCCGTGAACAGGTAGCGCCGCGGCCGAGAGCCCATCCGGCTGGAGCCCTCGCACTCGCGCACGGTGAAGGAGGATATGGTGGTGCAGTCCACAGCCTGGATCTCACAGATCCTGCAACAGGAAGCGGCCGGCGTCACTGCGGGAGGCGGACACTGTCTTCCCGCGAACGCCCTACCCAGTTACAGCCCGACACACAACCCAAGCAAGGGGCCCAAGCAAGGGCAGTAGGAACAAAATTCAAAGTTATTTTCAATCCAGAGCAAAGGTTCTTCTATAACGATGCATTAACTAACTGAAATAAAGCAAACATTGTAAGTTAGACAAGCAGGAGAGCCTGGATGAGAATGAGTTCTTTAGAAGGGGCGGCCGTGAAGAAAGGCAGGAAGAAAAACACAGAATAAACAGAAATTAGGCTAGAAGACAGCCTGAAAAAGTCCTTTAGAAAAACTTATGTGCAAATAAAAAATATGAAATGGGAAAAAGCATGGCCCTCGGGAGATGGCCTACACTGTATCCTCTATTAGGATAATACTCCTAACTTTATCGAAGCACTTTTATAGCTACTTTGCTGATTTTCAAAACAGACTTCTAAAAAGTCGTGAGCAGAACAAAAATTTTTTTTGGTACCGGGTCCTGAACTCAGGGTCTCACACACACTAGACAAACACTGACCCACCCAGCCCCGTCCCTTTTAAACCTTTATTTTGAGACAGATCTCGCCAAGATGCCCAGCCTAGTACCAAACTTGCAATCTCCCTGCCTCAGCCTCCAGAGTAGCTGGAATTACAAATATGTGCCACCCTGACCACTTACAACAATTATCATCTACCCTACAATTGAAGAAACCAGGGATAATGTACACCAATCATTTTCCCAAGTCATATACAGGTTAGCTGAATTATAAGTCAATGAATCATTTACCTCAGCCTGCTTCAAAACAAAGTTGAGGGAGCTGGTTTTTCAAAAAGGAAGAAAAATCGCTCTCAGGTAGGATTTGACGAAGAGGAGGAGCTACAGTCTACATAAGGAGGAGGGGCATCCTGCTGGTACGTAGGATGAGAACAAAGCTCAGCTGATGCCTAGTGGGATGGGGTGATACACCCAGGCCACGCTGCTCCTGCTCCTGATGGCAAGGGCAAGGCTTTCAGTATCTCACCCGGATAAGAGGCTTGCAACAGTTGCTTTTCTAGATTACCAGACTGAAGACTTCTCTTCTTATTTGCTAGGATTTCTAAAAATCACAAATGAGTGTAGCTTGTCAAGTGCTTCTTCTGTTTATCAAGATGACCATAACTTTTCTCATTGTGACATGTACTGAATAACATTTATTGCTGATTAATATTTGTAAATTTATTAACAATTAAAACAGTCTTGGTTTAAGTTTGAGATAAACCAACATTTATATGTTGCTTTTGCTCTTTCCCCTCTTTGACACCTACGCATTACTCCTTCCAATTTTTCTATAGATTTTCTCCCCGCTTCCCTACAATGAAATCCTTTCATTTCACTTCTCTCTGTTAAGAGCCTGAACTGCCTAAACACTAAGCTCTGGTTCACAATAGCTTCATAAAGACTGATTTTACATTCACTTCTACAAAGCAACTTCTATTTATTTTTATAACTATAGTTTTCCCTCAGGAATCAGAAACTTAAAAATGATAACACTGGTTTCATCCTGCAGAAACCAGTTGATTACAACATACTGCTACTCTCTGAAATGACAGAAGGGAATATTAAAATTGCACTCGGATGTGAGATCCTACATCATTAGAGGATGTTATAATACCAATTTTAGTAAACTCTTAGCAGCTTCTTTGCTGAACAGACACCAAACACTAAATCACAGTGCTTTATAACATTTGTGAGGTAACAATTTGGTCTCTAACTATATTATAGGTTCCTACATTTTCTTCCAACATAAATAAATAAATAAATAGATAGATAGATAAATAGATAAATAGATAAATAAATAAATAAAGCAAGCAAGCAAACTACCAAGAAGATGGTTTAGGTACATAAAACTCATTTTCTGCAATTAACGTACTGAGTTGCTAATGAATACATGCAATAAACTTTGATGGGAAGTCTCATGGAAAAAGACAACTTCCTTCAGTATTAAAGCAGGCAGAAGGGGAAAAATGGCAAAACTATGAAATGAAACCTGGGTAATGAGTTGTAAGCTGTGTCAAGATTATGCGAACTGTAATTGTTTTTGTTTTTGGTACCGGGGATCGAACTTGGGTCCTTGCACTTGTGCAGCAGGTGGCGAAACCACTGAGGTAAATCCCCGGCCTGTGAACTGTAATTGTTAATGAGCAAGATTTAAACTGTTCATTGTTTCTATTAAAAGGGATGCCGAAGGTAGGAAAATCTATAGTATATTTTATTTGAGATATACATAATGTACACAGATTTGTATGTGATGGGGCTAAAGATACTTAAATTCTAGGCTCCTCCCAGGAAGGAACTGAATGTTTTACGAGAAAACTGATAAATGGTTAGTTGGTGCAGAAGCAGGTCAGTGCACCCCCGCTCTGCTGTGACACTGGCTGTCCCTAACTAGCACAGGCACCAGGAGAAATGTCTCCTTCTAGAGAATAAGGGCGAATGCTGTCTTAATTTTGGCATACAAACTGTGGTGCAGGTTTTGTGAGACAAAGCAAGTTCTGAACATAATCATCATTACAGTATGGCATCACCTCTTCCCAGTGGACGAGAGTCGCACGAATAATTTGTTGGTGATGGGAACAACTTTCTGAATAAACACCTGCTGGTCATCTCGCTCTCCAAAGGGCCCTTGGTCAGAAAGGAAAAAATATCCAAATAAGTTAATTATAATTTAATTTGTTTCATTTTATAAGAGTAACATTAATACTTCTGCAAAAATTTTTTTTCACATCTGTCAATGTTTCAGTGAACTAACTCCAAGTCAAAATCAGATGCAACATGCAATGTTAGAAGCACTTCCACTTCCTTCTTTACATTAAAAAAATGTAAAGAAATAAAGTGTTTCAAAATTAAATTTACACACTAAGGCTGTGGAAGCTGACGGCAGAAACCTGGTAATATATTCACTGTCTTTGAGGGTGTGCTTAACATTCTTGTTACTTAAGAGGGGGGCTCAAGGTGTAGGCCAACTGCAGAGCATAGATGCGGCACGATTGAAGCCTTAGGTTTGAGCTCTAGCACCAAAAATGGGAGGAATAAATTAAATCACTTCATGGATTCACTTTTGAAAGCCAACAGCAATTTAAATTACACTGCAAATAGACAGTGCAACTTCATTAATTAGAATTAATCAGAAGCCCTCATTAACCACATTTGTTCCCTCAATCTTTCTTTTTATGAAGATGAAGATTAAAAGAAAATAACTTCATATAGGGTAGTCAGTAAACCAACATAGAAAAATATTAACCAATATCCAAAGAAGTACAATACAAAATTTCCTACGATTGAATGTCCCTTAGCCACCATGCCTGGGACTAGGAGTGTCCTGAAGTGGGGTTGGTGTGGCAATCTGCATAATGAGGCCGGCACCTTGGAGATGGGACCCAAGTGAAATGCAGAATCTGTGTGCACCTGCACCTTCTGTGCACACACTGGAAGTCAGTTTACCAATATTCTTAACAAGTTTGTTCATAAAATAAAATTTCATCATACAGAATTTTTCTCTTTTCTTGTTGGGGCTGGAAAGTTTTGGATGTTGGAATATTTAGGATTCAGATTTTTGGATTAGGGATGTTCAACCTGTATTGAGTTACATCTTGCAAGGTTTTCAATCTGAAAAAGAAAGATTCAACTATTTTCACTTCACCATCCTAAGCAAAACAGGTAAATGGTCTATTTTAGAAAAATTCTGTACAATATAAAAAGCACTTACATGCAAAACCTAAAAACATCAAATTTTACTGTCTTTTATCGTGCTCATTAGGTAACATACCAACTTGTTTATAAAAGTCATGATATGTGATATACAATAAAATTTCTAAAGACATATCCCAATTGCGTATGAATCACAATAAATGAGAAAACGGCATCTTTATTATTAGTTAGCAAACACTATACTTCCTATGTGCGTATTTTTACAAGCATAAGCTGATTTCAGCCATCACAGTAACCACATAAGAAGGCACTACTATGATCTCCAACTGACGGACGAGAAAACTAAGACACCAAGAGTCTGTGCGGCAGAGGTGTCACAGGCCCTGGAGATGGGCCCGGAACTCTGGTGAACTCACTGTCTGGCTCCACCACGCCCTTCCTTACACATTACCCAAGGGCCAACTTGCTCTGCTACGGAAGTGGATGGCAGTCCTTGTCCAACACCCTATACACAATGCCAGAACCACGGTGATGAATCCACTGTCTGTGGAAATGGGTCTCCTCTCCCTTACACCTGGTACTTGGCTGGATTATACAGCTCAGTGGTACAACACCAGCCCGGCATATGTTAGGCCCTGGGTTCAACCTCCAGAACCACAAAAGAATAAAGAACAAAAATAATCCATCTTGATACTGACATGAAATGTGCCTATAATCTAAGGCTTCATGCCTGAATCAGCTACCCATGTCCCCCAACTCAGTATTTCTCAACTCTCCCCCAGCCGGTTCCAGTTCTGAGCACTCCTTCTTTTCCTCTATCAATATTACGATTTCTGCTTATAAAGCATGACTGGGAAGATACATTCGTTAACCAAGAGGTCCTACAGAACTATTATAAAAATACTGAGATACACATATGCAGTGTTAGTTCCAAATGGACCCTTGGGGAAAATAATCTGTCTCCGAGATTACTGCATGTGTGAGCAAGTGCCATGTCTGTATGTACAGCATGCAGAGACGAATAAATCTAACCTTATACACCTCTTCTGAAATCAGTGTATCAGTGAAAACATGCCACATCCTTTCCTAATGGACATTATCATGCCACCAAAATGACTGATTATATAAGAGCACCAGCCCTTTTCTAGCTTCAATTTTATTTTCAGTAGATTATTAGTAATAAAAGAAGACATATTAAAAGTTTCCAGTGTGAACAGTTACCATGGCTTTAGTTATAAAAAGTGCACATTTGGAGGTGACATTATTTAAATAAACACTAATAAAAAGAAAAATTTGCTTACATAACTTTTTAAACAATAAGAAACGCTTCCAATAGTACAAGTCTGTGAATTCACAGAAACTATTCAGAAGCAATTACGTTTCTGTCTTGAGTAAGTTTCAAAATGAAAATGAAAAAACCCGTATTTAAAACTCACTTTTAGATTTCTATGGCCACCGACACACTTGTTTGGAACCGCACACATGCGATCCGAGACCTCTCCAACGCCCTCACCCACCTATGTCGTTTCCAGAGGAGTAGCTCCCGTGGCTCTCCGTCTCTTCCAAAGACAGAATCTTGAAGGACGCTAATGGAGTAGAGCCGGGCTGAGTGGAGATCATGCCCCGGAACCGCGTGACTGTCCACGTGCGGACGTGATTATTATCTGCACAGACTGGGGGCACAGACAGGGGACATAAAGGGTTACAAAACACAGATTACAAGGGCACACTTTAATTTTCTCACTGTGATCTACATTTAACATGTTGTAGGACAAATTCAGTGGCAAGTGACACCTTAAAATTACACTTAATGTGTACCTAGCTAATAAAAGTGAGAGGACTGAATATAGTTTATCTACATAAACAAATCCATAGGATCCTTATAAAAAGTCTGTAAGGTATAAATGGAGACAAGGTTTGAAAAATGTGTAAGAGACAAGACACTGAATGTCACCCAGTACTGTGGCTCAACTATACAGTAAATGGTCACCTGGTTTATTTTTCCAGTCACAGAAACTGTTACTGCTTATGTTACTCAAACAAGTTCAGGTGTTACTGAATAAGTATTATCACAAATGACGTAAATGACGTTGGTCAAGTGCCTTGTAGGAATCAGTCATTTACTGCCCACTCACATTACATTGAGGAACATTAACATTCTATACTGGAGCTGAGCATGATTTTTATGTGCAGTAAGAATGTCTGTATTAAGAAACATGATCCGATTTTATTCCTTTTTTGAATGGAAATACCATTAAATGGTTGTATAATAAGATATTTTTCCTAACCCATTTCCATTTTTTATCTGAACATATACTCTATTGACAATAAACACCAAAAATGATATCACTAATCCAAGAACCGTACTTTTTGGCATACCTAGTTAAAATTAGTATGTCATTTATGACAATTTCAGAAAATCTGTTATTATTAACAATGAACCATGACCTCACCAGAAAATGCTAACAAAGTATCCAAAACCTCTACTAGGCACACATAGCATTTGCTACTGGGTAAAATATCAATTATATCAATTACATATTTTAATCAAACTTTAGAAGAATTTTAATTTTGGAAAATAGCAACATGTATACTTGTTTTATTCTCATGTAATAAAATTCTCAGTTCTCAGAACATCAATTTTCTAATAAAAGTGACACATTTGGTTTTAGGATATTAAATCACAGGAAATAATTTCCTGATTTCATTACTAAGTTTACTAGGATCCAGAAAAATAATTTAAATAATTTTGGCTAATTTAACTGGGTACCTATAACAACTTTTGGTACAGGTATTATGCAAAAGAGTTGATTCCAAGCAACAGAACACACACTAGAGGAGAAAAGAATGTGATTATATTTATGCTGATATCCACTAGGTGGCAGAATTCTGTAACTGTAAGTAAAGAGCTCCAGATTTTTGGTTAAACTGGACATTATTTTCTTTTTTCTCTCTTTTTGAGATGAGGTCTCACTACATAGCCCAGCAGACCTTGAATCTGTGATCCTCCTGCCTCAGATTCACAGGGCTAGGCTGACAGGCACGTACCTCCATGCCCAGCTAAACTGCGCTTTCTTCTTCATAATCTTTATTTAAACTTCAAACCTACATGAAATGTTTCATGTTAAAATACAAATTTTACTAAGTTCTTTGGCATCACATCCTACAAGAGCATTGTGGGCACAAAAAGAACAGCAATTACTACTATGTCTAAGCATTGTCATTTAATATATGTGCTGCTGAAGCGAGCACAGCACTGTCATTTAAACAACCCTACAAAACAGTCTACATTCTCTCAGGATCAGACTGCCTTACGTCATACAACATTTATTCAGCATTTTGTTTGTGCCAAGAACTATGCCAGATGCCACGACTAAGGGGAGAAAGAAGTGCCTGCTGGTGCACAACTTACATTCTGTAACAGGGAGATGGAGGACAAGCAAGCTAGGAAATCCATAACCAAGTGAAAAGGCTATGAAGAAAACAAACTCAGACATCACTAGAGGAAGGTACTGCTGGACAGAAGCCTGGCCAATTTAGACTGATGGCCAATGAGGATGTATTTGAAATGGGTCCTGAATGACAAGAAGGCAGCCAAACAAGTCTCTAAGTGACACACTGCAAATAAGGACACGTGCAAAGGTTCTAAGGCATTTTTAAGAAACAGAAAACCAATAGGTCACGAGCAAGAGAAAAGTAGGTGAAGGTTAGGGAGCGAGGTGGAAGGTGAACAGGCTCTAGAACAGAAAGAATGACACAGAAACTTACATTTAAGTACGATAAAACCACTAGAATCAGGTCTGCACTGCATTTCTATGAGATACTTCCGGTCATTCGTGGAACACAGACGACAGAGGGGCGAGATACAAATGAGGGTTGGGAAGCTGCTGTGCTGACCCATGGGGGACGATCTGAGCTACTAGGCCTCCAGCAACCCAAGTGATCAGGTTTGGGGCACATGCTACACACAGCAAGGCCAGCAGGACTTCCAGGTGGGCTGCACATGAGTGAGAGATGAAGGGATGAGTCAAGGGTCCTTGCTAGATGCTCAGCTCAATCTGGGAGCAGATGGGACACCGAACCAGGGTGGCTCTGAGTCATCGATCAGTGATAGAAAGTTCTAATTTTGTTCAAGTTCCATTACAGATTCCTATTAAGCACGACCAGAGATAGACACAGGACGTAAGTTTTCAACTCTGCATGGCCAAGGTGAAGAGGAGTTTACAGGTTGCTGGCATACAGAGGAAAATCAGATTCACGTCGCCAGGGAAAGCACAGACTGCCTAGCAAAGCTCTGGGGTTAGCCAACTTAGCAACCACTGCGCCAAAGAAGAGAACGGGCCACAGAGCGAGAAGGCTCAGGGCGGGGCGGGGGCGCACGTGATCATTGGGTGAGCGATTCCTTATGGAAATCTCAAGAGGAGTTTGTTGGAAGCACAATGATACCCAAACAATTACACATTCAATCAAACACACCATTCATTCATCCACGGGCAAGCTACTTCCCCTCTACTTGGTGTTCAGTTAAGACTGAGGACAATGAGACGTGGATTGCCTTTTAGGCATTCTTCATAAAAGAAACCCAATATATGAACATGATGTTTATACAGATTTTAAATTGCGCAGAAGAGTTAAATATAAGGAGTAAGACTCCTCTAAAAGACAGCTCTACTGATATACCTAATTGCACAAGTCAGTTTGCACAGTCTTTTCGAAATCATCCATTATCAACAATTAAGTTCTTCAATGGGTCAGAAAGCGCTCCTCATTAAATTACAAATTCAGTATCCAAATTTTTATGGATCTTATTAATATCTAAAGTTTTATATTTTATATGATTATAAGGAACTGGAAAAACGAGCTGTCTTGAGAAAATCTTACACTAATTTTAATAGTTTTATAAGATGATCAAGTATCAAAGTATCTAGATCAGTAACTTGTATTAAACCTTATGATAGTAATCAACTTTATATAAAAATTCAAACTTAGAAAACTTCAAAATAAAAACTTTTCTCAATAGAGCTGTGATAAATATCTTGAAATAAGAAGCCGTAAGGACACAAATGTTAGGGAATAAATGAGAGAAGATACCTCCTAAATTTATGTACACTCTAACCAGGCAGTGAGAGAAATCTCTACAGGAGAAGTGTAAGTGACATTCCCTCAGTTATTAAACTTCCTATCATTTCCTCCTGTACATTTTTCTCACTACAGCACCGCTCTCAATTCTCAGTCTGCAGGGAACGGAAAGGACACGCGGGAGGGACAGGGCCAGGTGCCCCGTCAGGACCTCTTCACCACACTGGCAGCATCTCTTTACCTGACACCAGGTGCTTCTCCGACAGCATGATTTTTGTCACAGGGCTTCGGTGAACCGTGAAGGTCTGGAAGAGCTGAGGTCCTGACCCAACGGTCTCTGGGTGCTGCACGATCACGCGCACTGCTCCAGAGCTCGTACCATAGGCGATCTCGATCCAGTTCCCACTGACACCTACAGAGACAAAGTGCACAGGTGGAACCCCAGGGAATGGCAGACAGCAGGCTGCCGCTGCAGAGCTTTCCTGTGACGGAAGGGGCAGAGCGGGAGTCAGCACCTGTGACCAGAACCCACTCAGCAAAGGCGTCTGAAGACTTCTCTGGCCACCTTAAAATCATTATTTCCTTCATGAATCTTTTCCTAACACTCCACAACAAACTGCTCCCCCTCCCTTGTACACGTATTAGGTTCTATCACGGCAGCAACACTGATCCTGTACTGATTTCCATGTCTGTACTTCCAGTCCTTCCTGACAGAGATTAATCAGTCTTCTTTTTATGTCACTTTCAGAGTGCCTGGGACACAGTAGGTACTCGGCACATGTTTAAAGGATTAATAAATCTGCCATGCTGAAACTGTCCCTGAGATAGCACAGAACCCTAAAGCACTACTGCCAAGTCTAGAATGACCACCTCATTTCCCTCTGCTCCAGTACCAAATCGCCGCTGAACAATCACGTATCAGGTACCATGGAGCAGTCCTGGCGCTCTGGACAGGGAGTACTGCCCATGACGCTGCCCACATCACACGCCCGCTACCCCTTGCCTCTTCTGATCGTGTCAGGTGCCGCAGGGGCCGTTTATCTGAATCGAGTTTTCAGGCCCGGTCACCCATTTAAGGACAGGATGGAGCTCAGTGACCTAGATTTCCAAAACCCACACAGACAGAGAACCAATTAGCTTTACGAGCTGTCCCTTCTGCTTCACCTGAAAATACATAAATTAAAGGAAAAAGAGCACACACCATGGAAAGCCCTTCATCTAGCCGGAAAGATGACTCCACTTCTGGGCTGTAACAGTGTTCCTGCCACCACAAAGAAGTGCTTTGATTTATAAAACTTTACCAGGTCTATCTCCACATCTCAATTACACTGGAGAAAATAAAAGCCAAGACCTACACTTCATTTTCCTCTTTCCAGCAAACTTTCTGTAAAGGAACAGTCAATATTTTGAACTTCAAAGGCCACACCGTCTCCATGACAACCTCACCTGTCACTGCGGCATAAACAGAAACAAAGGTGGGCCGGGCAGCAATCCATGGTTCATCGCCCTCTTCTAGAGCAAAATGTTTAAATCCCAATCCAATGCATCCGCATACAGCAAAATATCTCTTTCATACTAAAGACTATTATTTCCTTTAACAGATTCAATAAAATGATAATGTATAAAGTAACAGAGTCGAATCTATCATTTCACAGTATTTCTTTACATTCTTTTCATTACAGGAAGTTTTAAGTTTCCAAGTTTATCTTTTACTCTAAGGTTTGACATTTCTTAACACTTCCTAGCACTAGTCTGTTAATTTTACTGCAATGGCCTCTGAAAAGCAATGGAATCTGTATACACTGAATTTCTAAATAAAATGTCATTCTCCTCAACTTAAATTTCAAATTCTCAAGGGAACTGGGACTACAGCTCAGTGGTAGAGCTCTTGCCTAGCATGCACTAGGGTCCAGGTCCAATTCCCAGCACCTCAAAGAAAGAAAAAAGAGAAATTCCTACAGAAGTAAGCTTATTTTCCAATACAAATTAAGCCATAAGAACTTTATTTTTTGGTTAACAAAAAGTTGCTAATTTCGAAGTTAAATCAACTATTTAACAGAAAATAAATATGCACATTCTTCTAATTTCAATTATTGTACTATAGCTTGACACATTTAAGACGGGGCTGTGATTCAAGCATCGCGCTGCTGGGCGGCTCTGAACCACCAGATACATGCCTGAGCGTCGTCCTACCCCTACCGGGTGGCATGAGACTGTCCCGTCGGGTGGTACAGGCGCCCTCGGTAAGTCACACAAGCCGCAGGAATGCGAACAAGAGCTCAGAAAGGAAAGGTTCCAGTTTCCCACCTGAAACTATGCTCACTGGTCATGTTCTGCTATGGTGTACAACAAACTGAGTATTTTAGATGAACAGAGATGAAATGCTTAGCACTGCGGTTCTCAGAAAGGACGAGATTCGCTTTGCTCGGCTGCAGTAAACTAATGGACAGAGTACTGACTTGTCTTGGGTGTGAGGTACACGCTCAGGGCCGTGACAGCGTCATTTGAGGGGTCATGGTAGAGCTCTGTGACAAGAAGATCGTTATCCTTCATTCGCAGAGGAAACTTCTGCATATCTAAAAGATAAAAGTGTTTAAAGAGCATTAAAGTAAATGACACATCTATCTTAAACTAAAGAAGTTAATGTTTTGGTCTTCAGCTTCAGAACAAAGGAAACAGGCACCTCGCTTACCGATGTAATATATGGAGCCATTGCTGCAGCCCAGCAGCAGGAAGGAGCCAGCCGTGTCGTAGCTAGTTATGGGGACAACATCCTGGACCTGCGGCAGTGAGACCACAAAATGTCAGGGAGTGACTAACTTCTCTGTTCTGTTCCATTTCCTCATAACTCTGGTTCTTTTGATAAAACAACCCAATACCCAGCTTTTGCAAGACAAAGAAAATGAGCTTTCTCTACCCATACATGTGTGCACAGAGCTAACGATGCAGCTTCCCTTAAAGGCTTTTTTATAAGATATTTCTCAGGGCGCTGCTTCGCTTCTCATGAACTACCTCCCTCCGCTGCCTGTGACCACCAGATTTGAGCCACCAGCCAGGGAGACCCGGCGAGAGCACATCCTTCCTCCTTCTCTTTCTCTCCAGAGACAACACCAACTGCCCAAAGCTACACGGAACTCGTGCTCAGAGAGCGGGATCCAGACAAGAGCTAATCCTCTGACAATGCACGATAATCTGTTTTCTATTTTCATTCTCCTTACTAAAACTTTTGTCTGTTTTCTAGGATGTATGTTTGTTTTTCCAAGTACTGGAATAAGTTATTTCAAAAAAATCTAATTTACAAATTTATAACTGGACATGAGTTCTGCTACAAAAAAAAAAAAGTCAGTGCAGTAGCATAAGATTACAATAACTCTTCTAAAAAAAGATTAAAGAAACAAATCCAAATCTCTCTTTACAGCTGAGCCAGAGATGCATGTGGAACATCATCAATGACATTTACCTGAATACAAGAAACTGAGTTTTACATACAAGTCAAACAGATTTCCAGTAATTTCAAATTCAGAATTATTATGGAGCTTTTATCACTTTTGGTTTCATATGAAAGACTAAAATCTAAACATGATGTGTTCTCTTCACATGTCAGACACGTTATCCAAGACAAGCACGGAAGAGGAGGTAGGGTGTGGGTCCCCCTGAGGGCTTGTGAACTTGTGAGAAAGAAAAGCAAAGGCGAAGACCACCACAGGTGCTGAGCAGGGGGTGCGATACAATCAGGAAGAAAGGGTGGCCCTCTCCTCACTGCTGAGAGAGCAGCGGTCAAGGCAAGGTTCCGAGAGCAAGCGGGGCTTGGTTCAGTCCAAGAACAACCCCAAACTCGCGTGTGATCCAGGTGGGCTGTGGGAAGTGGAGTGGATCTCAGAGGCGCTGCACAAGGCAGGGCCTGGTCCCCGGGGGTGTGGCTGAAGGGTGCGGCTGCCCGCCAGGTTCTCCCTTCTCTGTCCTCTTCCAGGCTGCTGGGGTGCCGAGTGAGTGGCTTTCAAACCCAAGGCCCTCTGCCATGCAGTTTCTGCCCTGGAGCCAAGGAGCACGGACTGCAGCTTTTAAAAGCCTCAAGTGCAAAAGCCTTGCCTACTGTAAACTGTGGGGAGGCCAGGGCAATGGAACAGCAAGGAAAGTGAGTAAGACATCAACTAAGTAGAGAACGGAGAAAGTAAAGTCTGACAAAAAAACAAACCACAGAATCTAAGTCCATTCTAATTTAAACACCCCCAAACCCTGAAACGGGGACGCAATGGCTGCTGCCTCTAAGGCCATCACACCCAGGTCCCCGGTTTCTCTGGCAGCTTCCCGAGACCCCAGCCATCACGCAGAACCTCCTCGCTACAGGTGGGACTCCAAGCAGCAGCAAACGCAGCCATCGTGGGCCTCTTCCTACCAGGGCGGGGGGCTGTGGCTGGCCTGTGCTTTTTCCTTAGAGACAGGGTCTCGCAAAGTCACTCACTTGTCCAAGCGGGGCTCCAATTTGCAGTCCTTCTGCCTCAGCCTCCGATACCCAGCTTCCTTGTCTTTTAGCTGTATTTCTATTTAACTCATGGAGAGTTTGCTCTTCGTCTTCATTTTTAATGACCTTTTAATTTCTAGTATTTTTTTCCTCCATTTTCAAATTGGTCTTATTCCATCCTGACAGTGTATTTCTTTCTCTTCAATAACTTTGGAAATTTATAGTACCTTTCTTTCTAATACTTCAAGTCTGCCCAGTTTTGAGGATGTAAATACTTGTATTTTTTTATACTTGATAACTTTCTTCATTTGCTTTTATGTCTGAGAAAATCTGGGGAAAGTCAGCTCATTTTCAGTCAAAATTACTTCCTCTCTGGATGTCCGACTGTCGCTCTTGTGAAAGTGCCAGATTCGGTTTCATGTGTACATCTAGAAACGTCAGCGGTCACAGGCCACAGCTGCGCCCTCGAAGCGGAGCTGCCACACCCTGAAGCTGTACCTTTGTGCTCCCATTCACACGGCTGTAGCGTCCCTGATCTCAATGTTTTGGTTTCAGTTTCTCATGGGAGGTTTCTGCCTGCACCACCACTCTACATGCCGAGATGACAAACTTTAATTTTTTTTTTAGAAAAAGCAGCTTTATTCCTGTGACTTGATGGCATTAACTGCTTTCCTCCCTTTTCTGAACATTTTACATTTGAAACACCACATAATTTTTTAAGTTCCTACCATATACGTACAAATCCACACGGCTCTTTATTAGGACATGTTAGCAGTACACCATGGTCACAATTAACATGGGGAGCTGGTGCATGCGCATGATACGACTGTAATGTTTTTCCTCTCTTTCTTAGTCCCTACCTCTCCCCTCCCTCCATGCTCCTCCCAACTCTCGGTCCCCTTTCCACTGGAGAAAGTTCTATTTTCATGATTTTTTTCCCCTTTCTTTTTTTTCGATCCCCTTTCCCTCCCCTCCTTCCACCTCGTTCCCCCATTCATTTGAACAAGATCTCCCTACTTCCTATTTATCTTTCTCTATTTTGCTCTCTCATATTTATTTGAGTTTCTCGTATAAAACAAACCACACAATATTTAAGCTCATGTATCTGACTTATTTCACTTAATATTACGGCAATTTTTTATCCTATTCTGTAGGTTCCTATTCTTCACTCTGCTAGTTAGCTCCTTTGCTGTACAGGCCTTTTTAATTTGACATGATTCCATTTGTTGACTCTCGGTATTACTTCTTGTGCCACTGAGGTTCTATTCTTGCCTATGTCTATGTCTTCCAGAGTTTCACCTATTTTACCTTCCAGCAGGTTAATAAGCATTTCTGTTTTAACATGTGGACCTTTGATCCACTTTGACTTTAGTTTAGTGAGTGGTGAGAGACATGGATCTAGAGTCAGTCTCTGCGTGTGGACAGCCAGTTTTCCCAGCACGATTTATTAAAGAGGCTGTCTTTCCTCCAGAGAGGGTTTCCAGCCCCCATGTAAAGATCACATAGCTCAACGTGCCTGGGGTTGTTTCTCCTTCCTCTATTCTGTTCCACTGATCCACATTCCTATTTTGTCCAAATTTCTTGTTCCAAGATTATGTGATAAAAATTTCCCAGTCTCCTTCTCAGGGACTGAAGCAGGCCTTTAAAGCTTTACATTTTTCCAAGAGGCTCAATTTCTACTTTTCATGAAGCCAAGCTTCCTGGTTTTGGCTAAAGTTCCAGGATCTAGAGGTTTTATCTAGATTAATGCTATGCAAGTATAAATAAGTAAAATTTAGTATTTCATACGGATATGCACTACAAATGGAAAGAGTTGTAATATCCGTATCTAGTACTTCTATGTGCAGAAAGGAGAAAGTGTTCTGTCAGCTAATCCAACTCGCTGTGAACCCCGAGTGCTGTATTCAGAGCAGTGGCCAGTACACAGCAGCTTTCTCTTCTTTCTTCAAAATAGAGCGATAACCATATTAAGCATTTTCTCGTTTAGCTCCTTCTTATTCTTCTCAAATACTTGAGAGCTAATATTTATCTTACTATCTCCTCTGCACAGGCTGTATATTGTACAGATCTATGTTTCCACTCAATAATGCAGCTGGCCTCGACTATCACCATACTACAGCACCGAACTTAAAACATTTCAAGAAAATTAAGAAATGTTGAGCCACGATTTAAAAATATACTCATTTTCCAAAGTAACAAATTTCCTGAAAAAGGTAAAATTTGTACCTAGAAATAAATTTACCACTAAATATAGTCAATGTTCTATGTGATCAAAAACAGAAGCAGCACGAGTTCCACAAGGAAAACAGACAGAATCTGCAGAAGTTTCAGAAGTGCTTTTGCTTGTTTAACACGCTGCAGCTGAGACCAACCTGCCAGTGCTGAGTAACAGCGTTCCACACTCCCACCTTCCCTGTGTGACTCGTGGCCACCAGCTGGTTTCCAATAAAGAAGAGTGCATCCACAGGAACACCGAGGCTGAACACTCCTTACATAGCAAGAGAAATAAAGATTAATAGGCCGCCGTCTTAGGATCAGTCATAACCTCCATTAAAAACCCAAGGTGACTAATTTACACCCATTTTCATTTCTACAAATTCTGTGCCAGACTTGGTGGGAAACAGGAACACAAACCTGGCAAGCTTTTAAGCAGCTGATAAAATCCCTCAGCAGCGAAGTCTGCCCCAGCAAGCTCACAATGATACCACACCTCTGCGTCTGAAGCTTTGCTTCACGTTCTATTTGACCATGAAAATAACCTAGCAGGTTTAAAGTGAACAAGATAAAATAAAAAGGATCCTGGGATACAAGCCAGATCCAGTAAGTCAGAAAACTACTGCATCTTAATAAAATTATAAGACATGTAAATGCCGCTCGTTTGTGAACCTGACTGGAAACCAGGATCTGAAGACATAGCTGGCCACCTCAGCCAGCTAGAATGTACGTAAAAATCTGGAAGTAACGAAAAACAACACGCAAAACAACCTCAGCAAGTCACATTAAACTCAAACATTCAGGCCTTTTACTTGAAGTTTATTTTAAACCTCTTGTTTTCTAGCATTTCAGTCTCAATTTATTTAAAATATATTATATTAGGTTTTGGGGTTAAAAAAAAGAACGGATGCTACTAGGACTTTCAGGTTAGTAGACAAAAAATTGCAAATAACCAATTGCAACACAATGCCAAAAGAAAGGAAGGATACACAGGACACAGCAGCATCTAGAGGAGTAAAGGGGCACAGATAAAAGGGCTTTGAGAATCTACCCTGGAAAAGAAGCCGTCCGAGTCAGGTTTTTAAGAAGGTTAACAGGAGCTTAAATGGGGCAGGTGGGGAGGGCAAGCCCAGGGCCCAAGTAACTCAGAGGGACGTGTGAGGAGCAGACAGCGCCTAGGAAAGACCAGCAAGCCAGCCACGCCGAGGACGCCAGGCTCACCTGGGGCAGCCTCAGTGCCTGTACTGTCTGCCGCACTAGCAATCAGGGCTCTCGGGGAACCCACTCTGGTTCTTACTCTCCTCATCTACAAAACACAGTCCTCGCTGAAGGTCTCAAGAATTGGTTTCATATCAAAACTGCTAGATCAAATTCTGCTACTTCCATATTATTATCGTTATTATTTGAAAAACACCTTATGGAGAATGTCTTTTTGTCTCATAATGCTGGAAAAGTCTCACCTATAAAATATTGTTGTATACAGATCTTTGAGTTGTTTCAAGCTGCAGTTTATTTCAAAAAAGTGCCAGTGTGTCAGTATGAACTTTTCTCAGCATTTAGCTGGGGAAAAACAAAGATACATAAGATCTTAAGAACTCACGGGGAGGGCAAATAATAAAATGCAAACTGCACTGCACCTTAAAAGCATAAGCTAGGAAAGTTTCTGATTTCTTCTGAATCTTACATCAGTGCTAAGTATTCTCTTCTGTTCAGGTCTATACTGCACCTCACGGGCATCCACAACACCTTAAAACTCTTTAACCAATCTTGACACAAAACAGGCATCTAGCAGGAACAAAAATGACACACACTGTATAGGAACAAAGTCGGGGGGGGGGGACGGGCAAGTATTGGCAGGGATATCTTTGATACGCACAATTTAATTGTACATATGAATCATATTTACATAAACATACACATGAAGGCACCTCCTCAGACCGACCTGTCAACCAAAAACCACAAAGAGCAATGTAAACCACAACACACAAAAAAGCCAAGCCCTTTAACCAGAACTGGTAAAGAATTAAATGTCCCACTTCAAAACAAAATAAGTATCCCACCCTGAACACAATTTTAGAGACTGTCACAAAATGGCACTTTAATTTTGAGGCCAATTTTTCAGGACCTGTGAAGCCAACGATGTTCAGTCCCACGGCCCTGGTGAAAAGCAGAAATAAAAACAGGAAAACCAAGTAACACTGATCACTCCAGAGAAGGATGAGGTTCTGGGGAATGAAGGGAGGCGTCTGAGAGGTTGGGAAGTTTCAAGCGTCCCTCTGGTGCAGGGCTCAGCACTGCTTGCACCCTCAGGGAAGACCATCCAGGGGTCACTGCTGTCACAGGGGTCGCGGCCCTCAGGCCTTATGGACCCTCCTGCGTAAACACTGCTCACACCAGCGAGCCAGCAGTGCCTCCCACCGCCTCTGGGAGCACTGCATAACCCACCCGCCCGCCTAGCAATCCTCTTCAGATGGTGTGGCCATTTCCCAAGAGCATCGGTAAGAACAAACATGTCCTCTGGAGGACGTGAACAAGTTTCCACTGCACATTCCCGTAACACAGCCGCCACATCAGCCTTGGAAGACAAAGCCAGGAACAGAATTTCATTCATTTATTGGTGTGTTACAAAGGACAACTTGAAAAGGGAAAAAATAATCATAACTGGTTTCTTTTCTGCGTAATTACCCATGTATTTTGTTTTAAAAGTTTTAATACTGAAATTTGTTTTCTAAAGTTCTTAGGAGGGACTCTGCTGCCAGCTGTGATGGAATAAACACTATTCACCATGCTTGCAAACAACAACAGAAGAAAACTGGACAACACACTCAAGGCCACGACTGCAAGCACTGGGCAACACCAGAGAAGCTCCCATTCCCCAGGCCTCTGGCTGAGACCCCAGTCAACAGTGATGGTTTCCACGCACAGAGGAAGCAGAGAATTTGCAGCCAGCACTGTGCCAGAATGCGGATGGAACAGGAGTTGCACCAGGGTTTCCCTAAGGCCCGGATGAGGCCAAGCTGACCCAGGTCAGCAGAGACTCCCAAGAATTCAGTGTGACAGGACTGAGCCAAATCAGGGATCCATGCAGGCCAATGCGCTGGTACCAGCTCCCCGGAGGTGCTCAGCCCTTTCGGAGCACCTCAGGCATTCAGGTAGCACCCTGGGAAGGAGGCAAACCCTGAAGTGAAAGGTGCGGCCAAGCTGCCTCAGCCAAACACAAACAAAGCTCAGTGAGCCAAGAAGACTCCGCAATGTGACTGCCTGCCAGAAAACACACCTTTCAAGGGCACACAGCGTGATCCACACTGCCCTGCCTACACACATGTCCAACACAGAATCACACTTCCTAACACTATGAAGAACATGTGATTCCACATAAAAATATGAGACGGCCCAGATACTGGAATTAGCAAACAAAAGTTTCAACCAAACAATTATTATGATTTAATAAAAAATGGTTCTAAGGAGGAAGAGACAAATCTCACCAAAAACAACATAAACTGTGAAATGGAATCAAAAGGCAATTTTACAGCTAAAAATAAAAATGTATTAAATGGGATTAACAGCAGATTACAGGAGGAAAGGGATACAAATTATTAAAGATATAGCAACAAAATCTGTCTGACTGAAGAACCAGGGAAATACAGAGTGGTTTGCAATTGACAAAGCTGCCCTCGGGTAAGAGCAGAGGCCTCGCCTTCAAGCTCACGGGGAGGGGATGAGAAGGGTGGAAAACACAGCCGCCAGGACGTGGGGCTCCAGAAACAACACGCTCATCTTGCAGCCAGACTTCAGCTGGACGGACGGGGCTCAGGCCTCCCCTCCGTGCTGCACCACCAGTGCTTCCCCTCTTCACCAGCCCATGCCTCTCACGCTGAGGGTTCTTTCTGCTACTGGACCCCAGAGAGACAGGGTGGCCGTTCACGCTAACTCTCAGTCCAGGCTAGTCTGCATATTTAGAGCCAATCTCTTATACTACACGTCAAACACTACCTACACCAGAGAAAGGCAGCATAAACGAGATTCTTCCTACCAATTTCACTCCCACTGCCCCCGTCCTGAACACTCCACAGGATGATGCTGCTCTCTGAGGCCACAGCCACCATTTTGTCTTTGTCTCCATGAGGACCCCCGACCACTTTTGCATTCAGAGCCACCCGTTCAATAGTCCAATCTAGATATGGGCTTGTAAACACTTGCTGCCATCCTGAAGATTCTTTGATTCTGTCAAGAAAGAACACATAAAGCAGACTCAGCAGCACGGATACAAACAGAACACAAATCAATGTACCAAAAACATTTAACTGCAACCACCAACCCTTTACATTTACTAAATATAAAATCTTTCTGGTGCAGTAGCAAAGCCAGTTTACCACGAATATATTCAGATACCTAGGACATACAATCATTTAGAAAGAAACAACAGTTCTTTATTTCTCCAAAGAATTTAAGAAAATTCTCCCTACCACTTTAAAAATTTAAAAAGACGATTATATCTTTCATGTTTCTTTATAAAAACAAGAATCACTGACATCATGGGTAGTCAACAAAAATCAGAATTTTAGGATTATTTTTTCCAATTTTTAACCAGTATTTTTGGTTATTACCCTAACTGAAATGACATGGATAAAATCTACTGATTTTTGTATTTCAGATGATAGTCCATTCAGGCAAATTAAGAAAGTACCACAGGCATTCTAATACCTCAGAACAATTAAATGAAGAAACAGCTTTGAAAATCTTTTTCTGCAGACTGGTTTTTAATGGACTCAACGAGCCTTCCTAATTCAGTCAAAGGATAATGTATGTCATAAATGATCAGAACATAATTAGCTACCCACTTCGGACAAAATAAATTCTTTTTTTTTTTTTTTTTTGGTACCGGGGATCAAACTCGGGTCCTTGCACTTGCAAGGCCGGTGGCGGAACCACTGAACTAAATCCCCAGCCCCTGGACAAAATAAATTCTTAACACTCACACCACACACAAACAAGAAAATCCCTCATGGATTAATGATCCAACCTAAAATATAAGCTGCAAGACTTACACACTGCTCTGTTAACACAAGTACCACCGTCACAAACCCAGCAACAAGAGGGGATACTGAAATCAGGCCCAACAGAAAATCAGTGAATCTACAAAGAGCATCCAAGCAGGTATTTGCTGTACTACTTGTTTTTAAGTTTTTTACTTACTAATATGAAAACTTCAGGAAAAACAATTTAAGATGACTGAGAGTACTCCTACTGTGCCATTTCTTTCCTTCAAAATCCTTTCACTGCCATGGCTCTGGATGAGTTACCTCCACAGGAGGAAACCCAGCAGCCCAGGCTGCAGTGCCGGCCCCGCCCACTGGGCCAGGTAGCCAGGGGAAGCGGAGACACCATGGTCCCCTCAGCAGAGAACGGAAAGCGGGTGCATCACTCTTCTTACGTGGAGGAGAGTCACGCGATGTGTACCTTTACAGGCAACTATGTGTGTCTCTGGCAAGCAGCAACCATCCAAAACCATCTCTGTACTATTCAAGAATTTCCAAACTTGACAAAATGCACTCCAAGTGAAAGTCTGTGCCTGATCACCACTGCACTGGGAATAAGGGCCTGAGATAAGGGACACAAGGGGCCTCACCAGTGACCACCTTTCATAAAGCAGAACCTTTTAAACATTAGTAGGATCCTCTAAAATGTATCTGTACACTCCAGAACACATTTGTAATTATCTCTCCTACTGTAGCTTTTTTCTTAACATCAGTGGTGATAAAGTTTATATATTCTTTAATTTTTTGCAATTTCAATGAAGTGGGATCTTATTTCAAGCTAGCATATTCCAGCCACTTCATGCTTCTACACCACTCTCTACCATCTACATTTTTGTCTACAGTGATTCAAAGGACCCTTCCCTTTCTCCACTTTAGAAAACACTCGCTGCTCTTCACTATTCTCACTTTCTTTTAGTCTCTTAGAATACAATCAGTAAAGCCAAGCTCCTGTGCAGGCCTCACACTCACACACTACAGATACCAAACTACCGAAGCTCACGTACACCCTACTTCACTAGCTCACTCCCAGGAATGTGGTAGCTATGACCAACAGCCTCCTTCCCCATGCTTCAGATTGCAAACGACTGAGTCATTCAAGATGAAATGTTACAATGCTTACATAAAGAGTCTCATCTAGAGTCATTTAGCCTAATAGTTAAATGACTCAGAGATCCATCCAACAGGAGCAAGGAAAAGTTACATTAGGACCTCTCATGGGGCGTGGTGGTGTGGCACAGCTACTGGAGGGAAGGCCAAGGGAGTAGGACTGTAGCTCAGGGCCAGCCACAAAGCTTACAGTGATCTTGCCCTAAGTCACATACTTAAAGAGGGCTAAAGACGTAGCTCAGTGGCAGAGCACTTGACTAGCACGAGCAGGGCCCTGAGTTCGATCCCCACTATCAACAAAAACAACCACAGCAAAAATGTCAAGTGTGTTATAGTTCACACTATCTGGAAAATATTGAAGATGTATTAAGATTACTGTCAATATTTACCAAATTAGGTAGCAAAGTAAAAGCAAACTAAACCTTATCCACATGACACAGAAGTGGGTGAAATATGCAGGAGAAAAATTCAATGACTAGAAGATGCAGCTCTTCACAAAAAATATAAATTTGCAATTAATGACTACTCTCTAAAATTCAAAAAGAGCTACGACTATTGGAAGTACAGTACCTGTAGCACACAGCAAAGTGGGCATATGCAGCTACAATCCAGTTGTGATGGCCAGCGACTATTAGCACCTTTCGTGGATCCACAGGAAATCCTGATTTCAGAAAAAGAAATATTTTCCATTCTAGGTGGGTTGGCAAACTGTGGCCCAGAAGCCAATTCCAGTCTCCTGCCTGTGTGGATAAGTAAGTCCAGCTCAAACAGGAAACACTCGTTTGCTCACACGCTGTCCACCAAGTCTTCCCAGACTGGATGACCCGCAGAGCCTACAGTTTAACAGTCATCCCTGTGCTAACAATTCAGAGCAAACAGAGGGTTACACAGTATTTTAGGTAAAAATATGCTGAGACTTTTCAAGATATAAATGATAAATCTGGATCCAAAAAAAGATTAGGCACAAATTACATATTTAAAAATAACTGCTCAATACCACCAAGAGGGAAAATCACGCGCAGCTGTCTTTCTGCGCCGCCCTCTCTGCTCACCCAGCCTCACAGTCTCCTCTCCGGCCACAGAGAGAACAGGCTGTGCAGCATCTCCCTGGGCTTCGCCTTCCGCAGAGCTAAGTCCGTTCCTGGAGTCAGGAGATCGCCCGGGGTTGTTTATTTTACGGCTAGGGATACCTACACAGGGAAGAAGACAACAAATTCATCTCTAAGTTAATCTTCCAAAAAGGAAAAATATCACATTGCAACTAAGAAACAACGTGAACTGCGTTGTACCTCAGGTGTATCTCTCAATACAGCAGTTTACTGCAAATAGTTAATTACAATCAGAAACTACAAAATAAAAAATAAAACTAAAGTGATTTCTAGTATTGGCTGTATTATTTATTTACCATATTATCCTCCAATTCACCTAGCTCCAGGTTACTGAATCAAAAGATTGTGCGTCCAGTTTGTCAGCATGAATCACTTTCGGCTAAGATCAAGTGCAGGGTGTCAGGATGTGGCGTGACCCCTGTGGAATGAGCTTCCTCATGCTCCCAGGCATGGTTCACTTGGCGCAAGAGCCTTTTGCAGATGAAATCTTGCTCAGGAGCCCACTCAGGTAAAAGAAGAGCTGCTCTCACTCCAGCAGGGTAAGGTGACACTGCGGATCTCAGCATGGGTCTTGGGTGAGGGGAAAAGAAGTCTGATACCAGTGCTCCTGAGGGGAGCAAACTACGGGCCACGGGGACAGGGAAACTCAGGAGAGCTGCAGGGACACAGACACAACAGACGTGGCAGATGTCAGAAGCCAGGCAGAGCACGGCTGCCTCACTGAGCTTCTCAGGTCCCGGACAGCAAACGTTTACAAACCCTGCTCTGCAGCATGTGCTATGAGGTAACTTTTTGTAAAAACAAAGTTCTTAGCATTTCTAGATTTATAGACAGGAAACACAAGAATTGAGGAAGAGTTTTCCTATTTATAATTGCTTAATGATACAAAAGAATTTGTAAAAAGACTGAATAAAATGAAAGCCACAATACCTGGTGGGGGCAAATAGCCGTGGAAAAGCACACTGCCACAGGATGAGCGCTCCAGTTCCTCACACAGGAGAAGCCTTCTTACTAAAAACATGTCAAAGCAAACTTGTCAGCACACAGTCAGAAAAACAGTGCTCCATTTTATTTTCTCTAGTTAAAGAGAGAAGGAAAGAAAAGGAAGATGTTTAAATTAAATCAGTCTTTTTGCTATGAAAATCCACAAAAACTAAACCCTGACCTACTCCATGAAAACTTTGGGCTCGATATAAAACATTTCATTTGGGCCAGGATAGTACACACAGAGTCAAAATGTAAACAGAAAACCAGGGGAGAAGACACATACCTAATGGTGTGATTCCATAGAACTCGGCCTCATGCCTGAGAACATTAATGCTCACTCCCCTACAAAGGAACAGAGAATATGTGAGCCCTCTCTCTAACCCCAATCACCATCTGAAGCCAAAGGCAAAAAGGGGCTAGGTTCTCAAGTGAACAAAGTTAAGCTTTAAAGACTTTTCTCCAGTAGTCTTTATTTCTAAGATTCTCAGTCATCTGAAAAGTTTAAATAAAACTGCATGTGAACAATAATACGCTCATGCCACTTGAAAACCACTCATAAACAGATGAACAAAGTAAATGCAAGATTAAGGCAAAGGGCTAATACAAATAAATTATGAAAAAGTATCTGACAAAAAAGTCAGAAATCATTCTTTTATGGAATTATGTTCAGCTTTTTATCATATTACTGTGATACACATTTCAACTCCTCTATCATTCTATGAGCTTCCTATAAACTCAATCTATTTTTGATCTAATTCTGCATATTTTGCACTGTGCCTAGCGCAATGCTTATAAAACAGTCACGTAATAAATTACTTGTTGAATGAATCAAAGAAAATAGAAAATAGGAAAGAAAGACTCACTTTAGCGAGGCTACGTTACAACAGTAATGATTCATTCAAATTTCAGTTATCTGCTCTTAACTTACGAACATTCCTCAGCTTTAATAAATACATGCAATTGTGATATTAAATTGTTTTTTTGTGAACCCGATCATGACTAACATACAAATGCTTAAGACTTTCCAACTCCACTTCAGAAGCACCTGTGTTAACAGCATCGCAGTGCTAGCTGACTACACCGTGCTTCAGGACACAAAAGGACAGTTCCTGAGGAGCTCTGGTCTCCTGGGAGGACAGACTAGCAAACACAGTTGTTATGACCCGCTGTGATGTGGGAGGCAATTAACAGAGTGAGAATACAGGTATTTGGGCTTTAAAAACAAAATCCATTCCCCTCCTCCTATATAAAGCCCTACAGAATTTAAATTTGCTAGGCTTCCTTAAATGAAAACAGGGAGTCATTTGTAAGAAAAGCAGTCAGTACACACACATATTTAAATTAATTCTGCTTTTTTGGTTAATGAACTGTGGGTTAGTCACAAGGACACTGACCAGACATAAAACTTGGACTTCTTTATCAAATGGTATGGGGAAAAATAATCTTTCTCAAGCTGTAATTAATAATATACTTCCCACCTCCAACCAATCCTGGACCAAAAATAAAAAGCCCACCAAACTCTTTTTCTTTTCATAAGTATCTGTTTTGTATATATTACATATACTGTATTAACTACAAGAATACCGCAAGGAATGCACCAACAACTAAATCTTTGTCCTCAAGGAGCTTCCTCTACTAAATATAAGCCAAAAATCAAAAATTATAAAGAAGCAGCTACAATAAACAAGTAAATTTCTAAAACTTGAATCTAAAAACTTATTAAAAGATCCTTAGTGAAAGTTAATCAGGATACAAGAAATGAAAAAATACAATAAAATTATAGCTTCCTCATAGGAACCCAAACTGTGTGAATATGGCAAAGTGAAAGAAATAGTTTAATATTATTCATTTACACACACACACACACACACACACACAAATACTCCCAAAAATGTAATGAGCTCTTACCATGCACTGAGCACAGTGCTAACGGTGAGAATAAACAGAGCCGCCCTCTTGCAACTTGAAAGTCTCATGGAAACTAGAACACTAGAAAAGGAACTCAAGTGACACAATGCACTAAGGACAGCACGGGACGCTGTCACCTACACTGGGCGGCTGAAGCAGAGATCACCAGTGCAGTCAGGTGAGCCAGAACCAGGAAGCTCGTCAAGTGTTGTATGAGAAGCTCAGCAAACGAGACTATGGACAGATAAGACCACACCCCAAACTCTGCACTGTTAGTCCAACATAACATATGAAAGGGGGTTTTAAGCACAGTGGCGACCTGGTGATGATCATGTTTTTAGAAGGTAAGTTTGGTTCCAATGAGAAAATGAAAAGAAAGGAATCTGCTAGAAAGCTGCTGAATGCTACAAAGGATGAGACAATGGTGGCCTGTAGCCATGAGACTTTAAATCTGAGGCAATTTTAAAAAGAGCAAAAACTGCACATTCTCACTTTTTTGTGGCCATTAATAAAGCTGATCCCACAGACACAGGGAACAGAACAGAAGTAATTAGAGGACAACACGGGGGAAATGGGAAGAGGGACGACAGTGAGAAGGTGGAAGGGGAACAGGTACCAAACACATACGCGAGAAGAGCACACACAGTAAGATAACTCCAGTGCGCACCGACTGATGTCCACACACGTCCAAATCAACAGACCAGCAGGTGAGGGGCTCCCAACATGCACACGTGACGGGATCTGAGGAGATGCAAATGCGATCACCCTACATCAATCACTGCACACTGCACACACGTAACAAACTGCAATGCTGTACCCCACAAGTAAGTACAAATACTCTTGAGTGAATTTCTGAAAGTCTTGGGGGGAAAATCCTTTTTCTTCATAAAATACACCCAAAATACACAGCTACTAGCAAGAATTTGCATTGAAGAGGATGCATTTCTTACCTTAAATCTAGTTCTTTTGTCCGAAGAAAATTTAAAATGGGTGCAAATGCTGCCGGATCTCTATCAATAAATATCTATAAATGAAGAATTGTTTTATTTTCAAATTGAACTTCTCCTTTCAATATCTGTAACACTGACAAGGTACAGAAACTGAAATATTTCCTTGATTCCTCTCTTAATGTTTCTACAACTGGAGTACAGTTATAACATTGTGTATTCAATGTGGTAGCACTTTTTCTCCTCCCAAAAGCTATTATTAATTTGATATTTTAATGACCAGGGAAACTGCTATTTATTAAGTCCACTTTCTCATTTCTATTAATATTTTTTGGGAAAACTGATACTTGAGAAAACATTTTTATCTGAAATATTCTAGAATTCAATACCTAGAAAACATTATGAATAAATGATACTTATATTGGCAAATCACTAATTATTGCTGACACTGTGACTACATAATTTGCAAGTCATTAAAACAGCACTTTTTTTTTTTTTTTTTTTGCAAGTTGAGGGACTGAATCTAGTGTTCACACTGAGTTACATCCCCAGCCCTTCTTTATTTAGAAACATGGTCTTGTTGAGCTGGGGGTTTAGCATAGTGGTTCTGCCACCTGCCTCGCAAGCACAAGGTCCCGAGTTCGATCTCCAGTACCAAAAAAAAGAACCATGGTTTTGTTAAGTCACTGAGTTGCCCGGGCTGGGCTTGAACTTGCAATCCTCCTGCCTCAGCCTTTCAGAGTGCTGGAATGAAAGCCATGGGCTGCCATGCTTGGCACAGCAATGTACTTTCATAACACACTCAGGGCTAAAAATGTAAATACTGCATGCTACTATCAACACTGGGCAAGATTATTCTCATATTTTTACACATACAATCTTATCTCAATTTCCTCAAAAGCCAGGGTAGGGTAATGAGAAATGAGAAACAATTTCAAAATTTTTTAAAAAATAACAAATTCAGCACCATAGAATACATAAGGAGAAAATAAGATGTTTTAAAATATGAAATGCAAAATTGGGCCAATCAGAAATTACAGATAGATTTGTAAAGAAATTATTGTTGATGATTTCTAAAGTAATCTCACATGGACCTGTCTACTGTGCTACCTTCTTTCATCTGTAGATCTCACCATAACAAATAACATGTTTCAATTTTTCATCTTCCAACAGAACGCCTTTGTGTAGCCTGTCACTCTAACACAGTTGTTTATATGCTGATGTGCACATTACAACATTTTTAACTCCACAAATTATTTTTTATTGAAACTTTACAGGTCTTTACTTTTCATCACTGTACCACTGCAGTACAAATTCATAAGGTAATTCTTCAAAATAAAAAAAATGTAGGATTCCCCCAACCTGCAACCTCTTATCATTCGAATACATTTTAATATTTACATGTATTTACTATTTATTTACATGTATCTATTTACTGTTAAAGTTTCAATTCTTGATTAAAGAGCTATCCTCTAGCACAAAAGTAAGCTCATGTCCTACAAGTTCTAATCACAAAAATTTGAGTTGCTGTATGCATTATTTTCTGTTCAGGGTTCTCTGTTTAGAATACTGTACTCCATACATGGAAAGAAATAAAAAACTACACCCTGTAATTTAGTGGTTATTAAAATATTAGCTTCTCACCTCTGGGAGTCCCTAGATGCTGAAGACCATGCTTCACGAAACACTGCGTGATCTAACTAGAAACATACACCAACATTTTACTTACAGCACCAGTTTCGTCCCGAAGTGTTGAGATTCTTCCACTCAGCAAACTAGATGTAATTAATTAACAAACAAGTTATTTTTTAAAATTTGAACATGAATGATTTTATTCTTTACCAAATGTCAAAGGCCAACAAAAGTGAATCTTCTATTTATTGTATAGAGAATTTCTAGTTTAAGAATTAACAATTTTTTATTCAAAAAATAAAAACTTTAACTGACAAGGAAAACTATTATTTTTGCAAATAATCAAAGATAGAGTAACATAATAATACAATAAACAATTACCTGGAAAAAAAAGAATCTGGAATCCACATAAGAGTTTGTCTCGAGGTACTAAATCTGCAATTGAAAATTATCTTATGTTTTAATGAGACTATGATTTAAAATTTTAATATTAACTTTCTTTAATGTGTTGGCTAATGATTTACAAGCTGCTGCATAATTATAGCTATATCAATTATATTTATTACATTTAATATTTTTAAATTTTGCTACTTTCAATTCTCAGGTAAGATTACACAAGAGCTCTCAGCAAAATCAATTAATTCTCTACTGTATAATGCTTCCCAAAACACGGCTTCCCAGCACACCAATCTGCTGAAGAATCAACCATTAGCCCCCTCATGCCACAACTGAACTCAGGGAAGCTACACAGAATTATTTTTGGTTCCCATTTCATCTCTCCAAATGCAATTTTCCCCCTCTAATAAAACAGTGGCCCCTAACATCCCGAAATGATTCGTGTTCGCCACCATTCGGTATCCGTATCCCAGGGAGATCAGCCCATCACATCCAATAACCCAAGTCCTATCCATCTCTCTCAGTATCACTCGGGTTTCCTCCTCGGTAAGGGTTTGTTCAAAGGTCCTATCCCGAATCATCTCTTTAGGGCTCAGCGTTGGTCACTCACTGTAAATTATGCACCTAACTGTATTTATCCGCCAGTCTTGGGCTATCTACAGCTGCTGCATTCGCTCATTTAAAGCCACTCAGTAGAGACAGCAGCGTCCGAGATTAACTATCATTTGATCTGATCGAGCTCGCTCATCACCATCCATCCTAGGAGGATCTTTACCTAAGTGAGTGTGACAGACCGTAACCCAGCAGGACAAAGCGGCACACTGCAGGGCCCGTCCGGCCCAGGCCTGGTCTGGGTTTCTCCTCCTGAGGGCAGCACAGTAAACCACAAGGCCACCCCGCAAAGGGAGCCAGGGGCCCCCACGTCACTCCACACCCCCAGCGTGGCTGGACTCCTCAAACTTGCGCGCACTTCCTTACTGAACCTGGACAAGGGGGATGAAGAGTGGCACGGGATGTCGTGTGGTATCACCAGGAACAAGCACCTCAGCCGAGACGGCCTCGGGGTGCTGGGGAGAGGCAGCAGCGCCGTACCTCTCCGCGTCTGCCCTCGGAATTAGCCAGCGAGCGGGAAAGGCTGGCGACCTGCTCACCCCAGCTCATGCTTGCATTCCAAACATCAGTGGCTGCAGGGCAGGCTGAGGCCCTCAGGGCTACTGGCTACTCACTAGCGAGCTCCCCTGAAGCCTGGGGAGGGCGACTCGGACCATTTTCTATTTCCTAAGAACAAACGGACTGTTCCTTAAATACCTACACTCCTCCTCAAACTTATTTTCAGGAAGGCATTTTATGTACAAATAATTACGTACATATACATACATACATAGTATACTATATATGTAGTTTTCTATATATATATATATATATATATATATATTTATTTATTTATTTATTTTAAAGGGGAAGGTGAAGAACTTGTTCCCTATAATGCTTGGCACCTCCCACGATCGGTAAACTAGTCTCTGTTGAAATTGAGGTGTGCTAACCAGAACCACTCTGTATTCAGGTAAACACCTTATCCGAAACTGAGACAATGATTCTGGGCCTTTTATGGTTTTAACAGCATTTCCAAAGTAAAGTTGACAAACAGATGTCACTAAATGGCCCACTTGTCAAAACATCTAGTATTATCAATCTCAGGGTCAAAACGTACCTATTACAGCTTCATTCTGTATCTAAAAGCAATTTTCTATCTCAGCTTCCGTCCACCAATTTATAATCCATAAGGAAAAGGATTTCTCACTGACTAAAGGGAAGATACTGAAACAACTTATCTATTAAGGACATCTCCAAGGCCAGGGATTTACTCAGTGGTTCAGCTGCCTGCCTTGCAAGCGCAAGGTCCTGAGTTCAATCCCTGGTACCAAAAAAAAACTCTAGGTAAAGTACCATGAAAAGTACTTTGGAGAACGTGGACAAGTTAAAATAAGTGGTTTTAAGCAGTCCTATAGCCATTAATCTGATCAAGGGGCCAAATGGTTTATCCAAGAAAACGGCAAATTTTTCTAAATACATTTTTTAGCAAATTCTCAAGCAAAAACAAGCAATTACCATTAGCTGCCCAAAACTGACTTGGTCAGTTAGACAAAAGCAAATCAGTCACTGATAACCAAGGACACAAGGCCAATAGTGACAAAGATTCACCCCTTCTGGAAATCATCAAATTAATCACAACAAAGGCAGTTTATAACTTCTGACCTTTTTATATTCACTGCTTATTCAGCAAACTGTTCCAAATAATTCAAATCACATGTCACGAAAATTTCACAAATTTGCTTAGAAGTTGTATTAATCAATTTTATTCGGCATTTTGGGGTGAGTTCGGTACGGTGCAATTTCTGGGCAAAGGGTTGGGACTCTCACACTCACCATTTTTTTTTTTTTTTTTGAGCCAAACAAGGGGAAAAAAACTCAGCCATTTCACTCCCCCAAACAGTCCCTGATTCCAAATTTAATTTATAAAGTTACATATAACAAGCATAATTCTTTGCAATAAACATATAGCCTTTCCACTTTTTAACTCATACACACAAGTGTGCCAAGGGCCACGCGCAATCCGGCCTCAGCAGAAGGGTGACTGAAGAAATCCGCACAGCCAGCTATGCGCCATCCTATTTGCCTCCTATCAAATTAGCTTGAGAGCAATCTAATCAAAATTACTATTCTGCAATATTACCACTGATAATGCAATGCATAGCTGCATTTCATGTGTGTTACCTTAAATTCCTCCATCAAGCCTGTAAGACGGACACTATCACTGCCATTTTACATTTTAAGAAACTAAGCACTGAAAAATAAGTTGCCCACGACTGACTGCTGAGCTAGTCACAGGTAAAGCCTGTGAACCCCACCACCTGTGCGCCTCCACAAATTCAATGTTTGCATCAGAGGGACCGCCAGTATTTTCACGTGATTTGGGAGAAAAATTCATTCTATGCAGTAGGAGATATAAATCTCCTACCTATATAAGGGCAATAATGTTGCAACTTGTCAAACCCTGATTATAAAGTTTCGCTTTGAAGAAAGTGGAGGGAATGAGCCCTGAGAATGTATGACTTCAGCGTGCTGGGTTCTCCGGCGCGGGCAGAAAGCGACTACATTTTTGGGACCGAAGCACGTCACGTTTTTTGCTGTGGTTCCCACTGCTTTCCATCTGCGTAGAAGAAAACGCCGCTGCGAGCCCACCCTACTCCGGGACGCAGCAGCACGGCGTAGCCGCAGCCCCACGTTGTTTACCTCCTCCCTGGGCTCCGATTCAGCTGCCCTTCCTTCAGCCCGAGCTGCCAAACTCCCTTTCTGAGGACAGTGGCTCACAAGTCACGGCCAATCCACGCAAATTGACCCTTCTCCGCCAACAAGCGGAAAGAAGGGGTGGCCCGCAGCCGGGGGTCGGGGGGCTCCGAGCGCTTCCTCCGCGCCTAGACCCAGGGCGGCCAGCATCGACCGCGGGCCGGGCTGCGGGCACGGGGACGCCGCAGCCGCCCGGACCCCGGACCCCGAGACGCCCACCCGGGCCCTCCCGCCGCTCACCGGGTGCCGCCCACGTTCAGCTGCACGATCTCGCCGCTGCCGGCCGCCGCCGCGGGCGCGAAGCCGCCGCAGTGCCCTCCCGCCATCTCGGCGGCTCCGGGGCGCG